AGGACGTAGTTTTAAAACATGATGGTTAAAAGAAAAAAAAAAAGTCTCAAGATCTACAAAAAAAAAAAATATCTGTAAACAAATGTATTTAAACCTGAACAAATTGCTCCACAGCTTGTTTGCATGAGTCTACACCACAAATCTGATAACTCCTCCACCCAGGCCGGCCTGCAGTGCTAGATATGATATCTGAACCACCAACTATCGGGAGGATGGATTCACAACACAAAAACCTATCATTTAAAATGGAGAAAAATTGTGGGTTATTTGCCAGATAATAACCAGAAAATCAAATGCTCATTGCTGTCCTATCTTTTAGTAAACTTTTGTGTTTAATGCAAAATAAACTGTTAGAGATCTGAACATTTAGAATATGATGAGACTAAATTGGAAATAAATAACAGGCCTCAGTTCATCCATTACATCAAATCCCAGAGCAGAAAATAAAGAGTAAATCACATGTTTACTTAGACTGTATAACACCTGTACACTTGCCTGTATAATAACAGTCAAATATGTAAAACCTCAGATGCCAAACTACAAGTTTTTATTCTGAACTAAACTCTGCATCTCTGAGCAACAGTCTGCCTGAGACATGAGCCCAGAAGGAATCAGACACTGGAGATACGGTTGTTGAGGTCAGAAAGAAGAGAAGCATCAAAGGAGTGGTCAGATTGAAGCTAAAGTTCTTGGAACTGGTTTCTTCCTAGAGAGAGTGGATGTAAGATAACTGTAAAACAGCATCTGTGCAATACATTCGTTTGTTGCACATTGAAGGCCATTATTTGATTGAGAAGCCTTACAGCTAGTAGATTGTTTACTTTATCATTAGTATGGGGTGTTTTTGCCAAAGTCCTGAATCGATTCAATTTTGATTAATACATTTCTAAATCGATTAATTCCGATTTGATCTGTTTTTACAATAATGAAAGTGGTTCAACTGTGTCTCAAAATACTCATGTATTTTATGTTTTCCTGTCACATTAAACACAATGTGCAAACTTGTAAATAAGACAGTTTAAACTTGAGATGTGAACAAAACTGTCTCATAAGTGCAAACTTGTTTGTCAAAAGTGAAGCCACACTCGAGCAAGCAGACGTGACACAGCAGACATGCATAAGCTGCATTATCTCCAGTACACCATATTTGCAGCGTTGTCTGTAACAACTACAGGGGGTTTGCTGGTCAGCCCCCGTTTGTTAATGTCTTCAGTCAACCTATTGGCTATATTTGCAGCTGTCTGGCTTGAAGTCATCTTGTGTGCTGGTTTCCTGCTCATTTGAATGTGAACGTCACGCGCGTCTCTATAAAACTAATCGATCTCATTCCCTAGACATCGATTTTGCAAAAATGTAAAGGAATCGATTCAAAATTTATGAAATCGATTTTTTTACCCAGCCCTAATCATTAGCCATAGTTATCAAATGCTTTAAAATAGCGAGGTATTTCAAACTAAACCCTTGTTATGTACAGCTGAAGTATGTTTTATATTTGCATTTTGTATTCACTTGCTTTTCTGTAGCTATTTCTGTCTTTTTACATATGGATTTATTTTGTCTTTAGTATAATGATGATGATGATAATGATGGGATGCAAACCAGTGTCATGCATCTCTAAAAACATCACATAACCAATCACAATCGGATTCTGTAGACGGATCCTAGAAACCATAGCTCAACGGTCTCCTTTTATACTTTTTAATTTATAGTAAGGATATTATTTAAACCTGAGCAGCACCAAAAGTGTTGATGGCAAAAAGTTACTGATTGAAATAAGTTTGATTCTACATTAAGTCTGATTCTGAATATACAGCAAGGAATAAAAATAAATAGGTATAATACATTGTGATTTCTGGATTTTTTTTTTAGATTATGTCTTTCACAGTGGACATGCACCAACAATGACAATTTCAGAGTCCTCAATGATTTCTAAGTGGGAGAACTTGCAAAAAATAGGGTGTTTAAATACTTATTCTTCACTGTATCAAATCAAACAATCAGCAAAAAGTTAAAGCAGGCGAGGCAAAAACAAAGCATTCGCTGTGTCAGAATCGTACATCATGTTGTCACAACTTATGTTTACATTTCTATTGTTTCTGTGCTATTTTACTACATATATGGTGGGTTATAGACTCCTCCTGGGTTTAAACACGCCCTTAAGTCAACAATGAGTCATGACCCTGCTTGTTGTTATGGTGATGTGGAGCACCACCCAAGTGCTTCCATACTGTAATGAGGCTCCACCTAAAACAGATGATTTCAGTTTGTATAACTCACCTCGTCTGCTTTCAAAGTCACGTGCCCAACACTGCAGGTACCTTGCATGTAAACTGTAGTTGGAAATGTGTGATAGGGGCTTTAACATTATAAAGTGCTATTGGAGCAAAGTAAATTCTATGCTTCAAAGACAAATAACTTCCAAAACAAATGGCATTAAACTGAATTACACTGCTTGCATTATAATAAAGATTAAGGAAAACATTTCATATAAATCTGTCTATTTTATCTATATGTATGGAAACTGAACCTGTCCGTAAACTTCATTTAAGAGACATGCTGAGAATTTGTGTTAGATTAATTGAATTGAAATGGAGAATGGCTGAACGCTAAGCTAGGGCTACTCAAATAATTACATATGTAATCGCAATTTAACAAGATGCTATTTTTAAATCGCAGAGAAACTCAGTTTTTGTCTCATTACATTTAATGAAGGTTAGACACAGACTTTTTCACTCCATCCCATTATGTGGCAGCTATACACTTATAGTGGGTTTGCTGCCATGCAGAAGGGAGGAGAGCTGCAGCTAGCATGCAGAGCCATACATGCAAGTACAAGTAAGCAAGTTTCCACATAACAGTAACAATAAAGTCCTCTGACAATGGACTCTAGACAAGAAAGAGCTTTTATGGTTATGAAAACAATTAAACACTGGAGTGAAACATCTACTTGCTTGTGGTAGGTGCTAAGGAAACTCAAAATAAAATCTGAATCTCAACATTGGTTGAAGAATGAAAGAAATAGTATTAAACAAAAATCTATATTTTGATTTTTGACTAAAATCAATCAGCCTACAAATACCAATGCAAAGTTAGGGGAAAAGCTAAATGGAAATGGCAAACCACAGATGGATAATGCAACTTCTGAATTCAAATCATTAAATTCTGGGACTAAGCCGAGACTAGTTTAATACAACTCAATTAGGATACATGCAGCCTAGGATAAATACAAATTGTCAGTGTTGAAATCCAGAAGCCAGGGTACATTCCATTTTAATTCCCCTTTTTTTCAGTCAACAGGACAGACTGCAAATTACTATGAGTGTGTGCGACTTTCGATGGGTGGAAACCTGTTAAACAAGTTTCTTAGAGGCCAACTTGTTTTTTTGTTTTGTTTTGTTGGGTGTCCTCACTGGCTGCCTATGAGGGAAAGGACAAAGGGATAAACATGATAAGGCAATGGCCAACCTGCTAAGAAGCAATGTCCCTTCAATCCTTCAAAGATCACAGACAGGTCAAACCCATTTCCTTCGTTTCTAAACTCTGACCAAAAAAAGAAAAGAGGAAGACCATGTGGGAAGTAGTCTTAGCTAAAAATGAAGTCATTTGGTAAAAGGGACACTTTAATTTAATTTAAAGGAGAAAGTGTATATTTTTATGTAAAATACACTCAAGACAAAAAACAGGTACCCAGAACAACTCATGATGTATCCGGAAATGCAGTTTCAATCTTTCTACACCACTTTAAAAAAAAGCACCAGAGCGTTTTTACAACAAGCCAAGCGGCAACAAGTAGGCCAGTGGCATTGAGATTTCAGTTGACAGGTGGAACTACTTACGAGTATTGCGAATCAGGTGGGAATTATAGGGTGTGGCACCGAATGAGCAAAAATTGCAAAAATAAAATGGATATTTTTTATGTTATTTTTTAAACAAACGAATCAATAAGCGGTGAGATTTAGGGGATTATAGAGATATTTTACAATAAAGGCTGGTTTATGAGGTGGCCGTCAATCATTCATTAGAATATATACCAGTAAAATAGCTGCTCCAGGGTTAGCTTAAGTTTTTGGCTAATGTCCTGCCAACGAACCCTCCCATTCAGTTTTATTACACTATCCAGACAAACCAGAAATATACAGCTAAATGCAGCAAATATCTAATATAATTTACCACTTTTGCTTACCTGCCGACAAAATTTTCCAGAACAGAGCTCTTTCCTGCGCTCTGTCCGCCAACCACGGCTATCTGAGGAAGGTCTAAGTTGACACTCTGACCGATTGAACTGAATGCATCTTGTAGCTTGTTGATGAGGGGAATCAGGTCTTCCATGCCCCGGTTCCCCATTGCTTCGTTAGCTCAGAGAGCTCTTCAATACACCGCAGACCGGAGGCTAATGTTAGCTTAGCAGCGAGCAGCTCTCGGGTTACTCTCAAAGTCTTCAGCGCCACCGCTTAAAACAGTTCGGTTCTTTTAACCTCACTTTAAAAGAACAATGTGTTTGTCCGAAGAAATACGCAGTTCAGACTAACATAACTTTATGTGCTTCAAAGCACATTAACTAGGAGCTCGGCGAGTCGATACGGACGGAAAAAAACTCGCAAAACAAAACTTCCTCTACACAAACGCTATCCGGTTTGAGGAGATGACGTCAGATCAAAACCGGCCATCAAAAGGCCCACCCCCGTTTCCCCCGCAAAATCAGAACCGTTTACTGGCTAATTCACATGTCTTACACCAGAATCGTATTTTCATTGGCTGCTCAAAGGACATGTTCGTCACGCTCGGCAAGAAGCGCGACTCTAAAGTTACACAGGTTTTTTTTTTTTTTTTTTTTTTTTTTTTTTTTTTTTTTTTTTTTTTTTTTTGGGTGAATCGTTTTCTGTTTTCTTGCTTTACTCCATATCAGTTGGTGGCGGTAATGCACAATTCACAAGCCTGCCAACCGCCATAAAACCCCATAAGAAGAAGAAGAAGAAGCGCGACTCTAATTGGTTCCTTCAACTCTCGTTTCCTGCTTACGCTCGAACTGAGGAATATGTCTGCCACCAGAAACTCAGAAGCAGATGGGAATATGAAAGAAAGCAGCATGCATTTTAAGAAAGCTTTATCCGCAGCTCCGGCTCTCTCCCTGAAGATTATTGCCGAATGCCCTGTGACCAAAGCAAGAGCCTGCGACCTGACTCTGCCTCACTGCACCGTCAGCACGCCGGTTTTTATGCCTGTTGGGACTCAGGGGACCTTAAAGGGGATCACTGTGGATCAGCTGGAGGGTCTCGGTTGCCAGATCTGTTTAGGAAACACATACCACTTGGGTATGAGGCCGGTGGGTAGATACAATTATTAAAGCTCGTTTATTGTTGAATAAAACGCCACATTTCATTAATTTTGGGTTTAAATAAACTTAGACTCAACTTTATTAATCTCTTGGGATTACTCCTTCAGGGAAATTCTGCTTCCAGTAGCTTATTTAGAGTATAAAGAGTTAAAGCAAGATGCCATTAAAGATAAAAATACAACAGACAATATAAAAAGTGTATATAGTGCAAAATAGCATAACAAAAAGTAATGTCCTGGAATATGTTCCCCTTAGATGTAAAAATATCTGCACAGTAGAAGGCTAAATGAATGTATCTAGCTACATTTGCACCAGGAATTGTTTTACACAACCATTCATTTATTTCTGTAACTAAAGGCAATAAGCCAACCTTTCAGTTCTTATATCTGTATATGATCTCATAGTATTTACATATGACTTTTTCAGGGAATGGGTGTCGTTTAAGCAAATACACTTTAGATAGATTGATATAAATATTGTTTAATGTATTTATAAATCATTTGCTTGTGTTAAATGTGTCAGGCCTGTGTGCCTTTAGCTGACTCTAAACTATAACTCCAAAACCTGATGTTGTCAGGTTCAGATGGAAATTGAAATTTGTATTAATAGTTTTATGTCAGAGTAAAAAAAAAAATGACCAACTTTTCTAATGCTTTTGGTGGTTTGTATTCATTTTTCTCTTCACGTTTTCTAGGGAACGGAGTTGATAGAGAAAGCCAACGGTTTACATGGGTTTATGAACTGGAAGAGAAATCTTCTAACTGTGGGTATTCTTTCAACTCTCTGAACCAAATGTAAAGAACTGAGCTTTATCTGTAAGAACTTTTTCTCTAGGATTATAAACAATGGTGCACATTATGTTACAAACATATTTTCATTGCAGAGTTAATATCAGATTTTTGGAAAAAAAATAAATAATTTTTTTTTTTTTCCTCCAGAGCAGCATTTGATATGACAGAGTAGTAGGGCAATAGTGAGAAAAATTTGGGAGGAATTTGTCTTTCTTCATCTATCTGACTTTTTTTTTATTTTATTTTTTATCAACAGTTCAGCTTTATTCTCAATTCTATATTTCCACTTTATTCTAAACATTTTAACGTCACTGACTTGGTGAAGAAAAAGGGGATAAAAATTCCTCCCCCATTTTTCAATGTGGGCCTTATTTCCTGTCCTAATTTTATGTTCAACAATCTCTAGTGAAGCATAAAAAAGGTTGGCTCTTTAGCAGAACTCCAGTCCGCTTTGAATCCAAATCTAGACCAAGACAGTCTGCTAAGCATCACCTGGGAAAAGATGTGCAAAGATTAAGATACAATTTCTTCCTTGTTCCCTTTTAAAACTTCGGGTCTCTCTTCTCTTAATTGGTTTCTCTATTCTTAGGCTGTTTAGCTGAGTTTACAGTAGAATTATCTCTACTTTCCTCAGTACTTTTGCAGCCATGCTGACCTGTTTACTCTGCTGCTTATCAAAGGCTCCGCCCCTCATTAAAATCCTGTAGTTGCTTGATCACTCAGTCAATTAGTCAATTGTTATTATCAAATCAAATAATTGAACTCATAAAACATTGTGTAAAAAGCCTTTCCCTTAACGAGCCAAAAACAGAATTGGGTAGTTCCTTTAACGGTCATTAACCCTCCTGATTAGAGCATTGCTACATTAGTTGCCTGCAACCAATGGGTGATGGTATAAGAGAGTTTTGGAAGTAAAACAAATGTGGAAAAACTAATTCTTGTTACTTAATTTAACAATAATATCTCATTGCATTGCCTGATATTTTAATATTGTGGTGCCTTTAATAAATACCCTTGAAATAAGGGGTTTAGTTACAGTTTTTTCCCTTTTTTCTTGCAGGACAGTGGAGGATTCCAAATGGTGTCTCTTGTTGAACTATCAGAGGTCACAGAGGAAGGAGTCAAATTCAAGTCCCCTTATGATGGCAAAGAGATCTTATTGAGCCCTGAGAAGTCCATCAGCATACAGAACCGCCTGGGTTAGCAGGGTTTAAAGCGTTTTTTTCAGTTAGACTATTTTAACTGTTAACCCCTTGAACCCTACGGACCCACCGGCGGGTCCAGCTGCTACATGACCTCGTAATTTTACCAAACCCCCAGTATTGATGTAAAAAACATATTTGGCACAGTTTGGTGACATTTATGGATAAATGTGCCAAAATGGCCTCTCCGCCTAAGAAATTTCTCACTAATACCATTCTAAAATAAATATGATTCATCTGATTGAGTCCACATTTTGTATATTTTTACACAACATTTAGATTTGAAAGTCTGTACTACTTTTTTGTGCTATAAATAATATTTTGGTAGTGTTTTGCAATGTTTATTTCAAAGAAAATTTTGGCGAGGTTCAAAAAATGCAAAATATTTTGTATTTTGTCCCTAATATTTCAGGCAGGGTCAAAGCTACAATGGTGCTGACACCAGAAAACCATTCTATGACATCTTACCTTTACAGACGTACCAAAAGTTTCTTCTTAAATCTAATAGCTTTGAGGCTATAATTTATTTACTTTTGTGTGTTTTTGTCAGGCAGAAATTTATTTATACCCCCTTAGGGTGTAAGAGGTTAATTCCCATCAAATCAACATGCTTTATTTTTTCTGTTGCAGGGTCAGACATCATGATGCAGCTGGATGATGTGGTCAGTAGTACTGTGAAGGGACCGCGGGTGGAGGAAGCCATGCATAGATCCATTCGCTGGCTGGACCGCTGCATAGCTGCTAATAAACATCCAGACAAACAGAACCTTTTCGCCATCATCCAGGGTGGACTCAATGCCGAGCTCCGCAAGGCCTGTCTAGATGGTAAAAACAAATGATACATGTTTATAAACCCCCATATCAAAATCTTTAGAGATCAATATCTCTGTCTGCATAAAGAGATCATAGAAATATCATATATGTACTCTCCCATTGTTCTTCTACTTGCAGAAATGATTCAGCGGGACGTTCCTGGGTTTGCCATTGGTGGCTTGAGTGGAGGAGAGGAGAAGGACGATTTCTGGCGGATGGTCACACTGAGCACTGACTACCTGCCACGGGAAAAGCCTCGCTACCTGATGGGTGTCGGGTGTGTTTGCATGCACAGCTCACACTCTTAATGGGCTTTTCACACGTTAATCAACAACTTAAATACCTCTAACATGCTGCAGGTATGCTGTGGACCTGGTGGTGTGTGTCGCTTTGGGATGCGACATGTTTGACTGCGTCTTCCCAACCCGCACTGCAGTAAGCTCTTTTCACCTCACCTGCTGATTAAAAAAATAAAAATAAAAACCCATGAAATTCTTCATTTAAAATGTTTGAACTACACTGAGACTTTATTCCAAATGTTTCTGTTTATAAAATCGTTCTTTTTCCATCAGAGGTTTGGTTCTGCCTTGGTGCCTTGGGGGTCTCTTCAAGTGAAGCAGAAGCAGTATGCCAAAGACTTTCAGCCCATAGATCCTGACTGCCTGTGCCCCACCTGCAAAAGGCAAGTCAATGAATAACCGTTTATGTTTGCTTTTAGCTTTTATATTGGGAACATTTTAGGGAAAGATTTGCTAGCAATATATGCAATGTGACTGGAAACTGCTGCGAATTGTTTCATCAGTGGTGGATTGTTGGAGGAAAACGTCTGAAATTTATTTTAATAGCTTTTTTTCACATCGTTTTTTTTATTGCAGACATAGTCGGGCTTACCTGCATGCTTTGTTCAAGAGTGACACCGCGGCAATGCATCACATCACCATTCACAACATTGCCTACCAGGTCAGTATTAGAAAAATCTTGCAGGATTATCATTAGCTAATTAATAGTAAAACATATAAATGGAGTCGAGATGATTTTAAAAGAGGTTTTCCTTCATTTCAAATATCATTTTTACGGTCTGCCTCTTTTTTTATTGCTGTTTTAAAAGCAAAACAAATGATCCTATTGTTGTTTGGGCATAATCCAGTCAAAGAAAAGTCTAATGGTTTATTCAGTAACGGGGATCTGGATGAAAAATGATGATGGTGTTATTTTAAAAGTCTGTTTCAGTCAGCTAACAGGTTTGGGTTGTGTTTTTATTTGTTTGTTTTTTATTTATTTTTTCTAGATGTTATATGTTAATTATGCTCAAAAGTGAAGCACCTCATTCTGGTTGCATGGTAGGCGCTTTTATCGCAGAGAACGGCCATAAATGTGCCATAAAAGCTCACTTTAAAGTCAGGAGGAATCATTTGGTTGCTTTATGGGAGATGCTGATATTTTCAATCTAAAAATCTTGGCAGTCACAAGCTGTAGCAGCTTCTATTTGTCACCGAGGGTCACTTTCCTTTTTACTGTTTCTTCTTTCAAAACAGCATTTATACTGTTTAAAACACTGCATACACTCAGTTTATTTTTCCCTTCAATGTTTTATTTGTTAGCATTTATAATCATATTTATTATTCTTTGATTATTTGTTATAAATCCAATCTCTCTCATGGTTAAAGTGGATAAAACAAACATGTTGCTCACATTGTTGATCTCACATGTGCTGAACACATGAAGAAAATGAAATTAAATCAAAGTTCTTTCAAAAAAAGATCAGTTTATAAGTGTGCTCACCTTTGCAAGCAGGTTCTATTAATCTATTTTAAAATATCCTTTAGTAACAGGTGATAATTTTTTTTCCAGAGGTGTTAAAATGTTCATATTCTATACTTCAGTAAAAATGTACATGTGCACTCTGGTAAAAGTGCCAATTAAATTATTTTACTTCAGTGAAAGTAAAAAAGTACAGGCTTTACAACTTTACAACATCCTTAAGTAGAAAGGTAAAATTAAGATTTGCCTAAAATGTTACACAATATGTTTTTAAAGCTGTTTAAGGAACGGTTTTATGCACAAAAACAAATAATACTTTTCCTCTTTTGCTCACTATGTTGGAAGAGGAAACATAATAGAAATCACTTAGTCTTGTTTTGTTCTAAATGATAATTTTAAGACAGGTTTAAATAGACAGAACTGCACAGAAGTCCTGCCTAAGCAGCTGGATACTTTTAGAGCTCTGGTATTTACAGAGTTAAATTTGCAATAGGATTAAAATTGAAATAATAAAAAAAAAGTGTCAATTTACAATCAAATTGGAGATGAATAGTTAATGTGTTATATTAATAGTAAATTTTCTTCTCACTCTTGATTTTCCTACTTTGTTGCAGCTGCTTCATTATGTAATTTTAAACATGTATAGAAGTAATGCAGCGGTTTTGAGAAAGTAAGACATAAAATGTACAGATATTTTTGTCTGAGAGAAAAAAGGCCTCAAGATAAATACTAAAATACCTATACTGAAAAGAAAAAATAACTTAAGTACAGAAACTAAGTTATTCAATTCAGTGTATTGATCATCAAGAGACACTTTACAAAGGCGTTTATAATTACTTAACAGCTTTATGTTTTTATTAAAGAACAACAGAAATTATTTAACATGGTCTCTACTTATAAAGTCTTTGGAAACCACTCCATCTAAACCTTATTTTAAGGATCATGTTTCCAGAAGGACAATGACAATCTTTCCACTAAATCTCCTCTTGTTTTCCTTCTTTGTTTGGCAAACAGCTTACAGAACAAAACTCAAGTTAAACCAGGTTCTAAAAGCTTTAGATATCAATCTGTGCCTGATTGTATCTGTGGAAGGCAATCACAGTCTGAGAGACCCTGCCTTTTCAATTTGCAAAGCACAAAGGATCTATTACCCAAAATCCCCCCAGGGTTTATTGTCTGAGCCCAGATGCAAAAAGTGAGACCTCCTTATTTGACTTTTCTGCTTTCTCAAGTTTAACCTCTAGGTGTCACTAATTGTTAACTTGGTGTGCTTCCTTAGGATTTCCTTTTTTCCATATAATATTCCATTTTATTTCCATTATATTCTGTTTTAATGATTTATCAATAGTGAATAGATATAAACAACCTGCTGCCACCTTTAAGAAAGGTTTATATAAGCGAGATCGCTCAGAATATCCTGACCTAAAGCTGATCTAGAGATCATAATGTACCTCTAGAGGTTACAGTAATCATATCATCCTTTCCTCTTTTATGACTGTTTTTCTTTCCAGCTTACTCTGATGCGTTCCGTGAGGCAGAGCATCATGGAAGGCCGCTTCCCTGAGTTCATACAGACATTTATGAAGCGAATGTTTCCATCCAGGGATCAGTACCCCAGCTGGGCGGTGGAGGCTTTGGCTTCTGTCAACGTGACTTTGGAATAGGACTTTTTAAGCCCAAAACTCCAAGTGGAGAAACCCGTCAACCATGGACTATAGGAAAAAAAAAAAAAAAACATTTTTGTACCCTTTTCTTAAAGATTGTTTTTATATAAGCTTTTTAAGCTCTTTCCAATTTCATGAGAAGAATTTAATTCACTTCTGTTATTTCAGTGTCTGACATTATAAAAATAAATTGGCTTTAAAGGATGATTTAAACGCATGAACATTTCCTTTGAAATTCACAGTTTTTGTTACCATGGTTACAGAGGGATGCCCTCCTATTTCCTTTTTTTTATTTCTACTTTCCTCCTAGTCTTTTTATACACTTCCTGTAATGTATTTCAGTTTATTTGGTTTCAGTATTTCTTTGCTATTCTAAGTAATCTCTCCCTAGATTTTAACCCTAGACTCAACACATCATGCAAGAACTGATTAAAGACTAGAAAATTTCTAAAGAAATTTTGAGGGGGGCCACCTACTGCCCGTCTGGGTAACTGGGCCAATACGGCCCTGGCAAGTGACATTGGGGCTCCCCAGACCAACTGCTTACGCCTTTGAGGGCTGCTGAGGGAAGGAAAGAGGGCTAGTTCATGGGCAAAGAGAGCTGTGTGCCAGTTGTGCTGAAATCTGGGAAATAGACGTGCACAGCATATGATGCACAAGGGTAATATGGGTTGTCCATATTGAACCGCAGTGGGTAAAGCGCAGTTGGCGGGCGCTGCCCGCATGCTAGGTGCCCTTGCAGCGATGAAAAAAATCACCAATGGCGGGCTCCGCCCGCCTGCTAAGAGCCATTGCAGTGATGAAATCACCAATGGCGGGCTCCGCCCGCATGCTCAGAGCCATTGCAGTGATGAAATTAAAAATGGCTATGAGCAATATGCCAGAATGTATGAGTGTGTATAAGGAAGAGGCTTTTATTCTGTAGAGTCCCTGTAGTCTTATTTTGAAAGTCTATCATGGATGTGCATCAAAAGATGGGTCATGCCCAGCAGTGATATAAGAATCCATTTCCAAATGTTAAATCACTGGTTTTCCATGCTATTAGGTGAATAGCTGCTGTATTACAGAGTAAATGGGAGACTTTTATTGTGAAATTTGCTCTGGGGTGTGTTTTTGAAAAGGTCACTAGGTCTAATTAAAAAAAAAA